AGATAGATAGATAGATAGATAGATAGATAGATAGATAGATAGATAGATAGATAGATAGATAGATAGATAGATAGATAGATAGATAGATAGATAGATGTGTGCAATGCCTCTCACTAGGTCCTGTATGTTTGTATAGATTCAGGTGTAGAGTGCATTTATATTGAAAAGCAGACAGGCACCTCTTACGTTTATGCGCGCTTGGTACTCGGCGCTACCGGCCGAGTTGCGTGCGACGCAACGATACACTCCTCCGTCTGGAATAAGTGGACTGCTGACGTTGACGTGCGATACAGTCAGGCCATCCGACAGGGTGTACTGGCTGGTCTTGTAGGTTGAATCTCTAATCACAGGTTCATCGTCCAGTGTCCACGTGATAGAAGGGGGTGGGGCTCCTTTGGCCGCACACATAAGGGAGAAAGGCTCGCCGGGGTTTACCACCCGCTCGCTGAAGGAAGACACAATACGAGGAGTACCATCTGAGAGGACAGGGGGAGAGAGGAAACAGAAGGACATAAATAGAAAGTGAGAAGTTCTGACAGAAAAGCAGAATACTTGAGAAGTTGCAAAGCCCACAGCAAACATATTAACTTTGAACACAAAGACTATGGCGCCTAATACCTGCACTTATTTAAGTCACTGTCCACGTACCCTCTAGCAGAATAATAGAGAAGTCCTGAGCAGTGTGGCCCTTTCGGGAAGCAAAGCACTGGTAGGCCCCAGAGTGAAGCTTCTGTGCTGCAGTGATCTGCAGGGTGTCATTGTGTTGTCCTTGGATGGAGATGTGCTCGTCTGGGACAATTGGCTCTGTGTTCCTGTACCAGGTGATGGTGTATTCTGGAGAGCCTTCCACAGTGCAGGTGAAGAACAGTGTGCTGCTGATGCCCGTTTTCAGATTCTTAGGGGACAAGGTCACTCGTAGTGGATCTGAGAGAAGACCACAGGAGTTCATAAAACAAAAATGTGGATCACTTTAATAGTATATCTGCCATAATAATCAAAAGGCATCAATGTGATTTGTAGCCTGCTAACTTACCTTTTTATTTACTAATTATGTTATCTTATTTCAAAAGGTGTTTTTTGTGTCTTTTGCCTTTCCTGCATCACTCTAAAATCATTAAACTGGATTCAAAACATGACACATAGTGCTTACAGTAGGCGTTTTCATTCACAGAGATGGGGAGAAAGAGAGCGAGTACAATCAGCAGTGGTGACTCAATCAGTTGGACGCACTCATTAAAAAAGCAGCTGGAGATATCGCTTCACATCTCTGTCCACTTGTGTGTGTGAGTGTGTCTGTGTGTCAGCAAGAACGCGTGTCTACATGTGTGTATGTGTGTGTGTGTGCACGCAAATGTCAGTGAGCAATAAGGCAGCTGGTGGTGTATGCTGGGGGGCATCACTGTGCCTCCCAACCCCCCCCTACTCACCCTGTCAGAGTCACAGACTGTGCTGCCATGATGTGCCCACTGGCAAAGCCTACCGCCTCTCTATTCTCTCGCTCTATCTCGCTTCACTCCCTTTGTTTCTTTGTATACTTCACACACTTTAGCTCAGTCTTTCTTATTATCTCGTTATTACATTGTAGATAATGTCATTCCAGCACTGTCTGGGTGTCCGACCGCCCCCCGCATGACCCCTTGTCTTTATCTCTGTCTTCCTCACTCTTCTTCTTTTCTGATGGTAAATGGTGTTGGCAGCTGTGATATGGAATCAGCCTGAGCGAATTACCGCCCTGTCTCTCCTTTTGAGGTCTGATATGATGGGACATCCTACAGCTCACACATATGTTTGTAACAGACACACTTTAGCTTGGACTTACATGTGCGCCCCAAACCAAACACTTAAAGGTGCTTACAACTGTGTCTGTCTGCAAGGCTGATTCACTGACAAGACAATGAGCCAGTCTGCCAGATATTTTGCAAATGTGTGTGAGCGTGTGTGCGTATCTGTGTGTAATGAGCCTCACACACCTATCACGTGAAGCTGTCCAGACACCTCCTTTGAGCCAAAACTGTTGGTGACCTCGCATGCATAGCTGCCGCTGTCTTCTTGCCTCAGGTCACTGATGGTCAGCCCTGTCAATCGCCGCGTCCAGCGGGCATCTGAGGGTAGCGGGCGACCATCTTTCAGCCAGCGCACAGTAGGGCTTGGGTATCCTCCCGCTATGCAGGGGAGCTCAATACTATGGCCTGCGTAGACCTCCCCTGCTTGGAAACTGTCCAGGATGGTGGGTGCAGATTCGTTGGGGTCTGGAATGCAGACATGGTGTTACATTTTTGTCAAGATAAAGCGAAAAAGGTAAGTTCACACACCAGTTACTCACCCATTACAGAGAGCCTGGCTCCATTGCTTTGCCGTGTCTCGCCACTGTATTTATGCTTGGTGATGCACCGGTATGTAGAGAGAGCATCCTCTTTTTGAACATCGGAGATGTAAAGAGCCCCAAAGGAGGTCAGCGAGAACCTGTTACCTGAGGAAGACACATTAACAAAAGATCAACATTAATCTTCTTAAAGGAGAAGTGACAACAGGCAAAACATCACTCCGAAGACCTTGTGTGTAAAAAACTTTTCACTCCCTCCTGTTCCCACATTTTCGTGATGATCACTCTCGTTCAAATACATAGTGCATACTGCAAAACCATATTGTTCTTAGAACAAACAGCTGCCTGAACAGTTGGCACTACCTGCCTAATAATGCTGCTTCCCAAAGCCTGGCACTCTTTCAAGACCTGGAGGACACCCAGCGGTCACTTACACCACCCACAGACAGAGGAGAGACAGATTTACTGTCTCCCTCCACACACAGCTTATAACTCTTGCACATCACACTAACTACCATCACAAAACTCGTTAAGTGTTCTTCCTTTTATGCATGATAAGAAAACAGGAAGGCCAAAGATCAAATGTGCCTCTGTGTCTTCTCTTTCTTAGCATTTGTTTTATGCTACTCAAAGAACAGTTATGTCAGCATTACAAAGTCTTCAAGCTGTGTATAGTGAAGGCAGACATCAGTTTGCAATGACTCCCTTTACCAAGATATTCTTGCGTAATTTATACAGAACATTGTTTCTTTGCATAAAAGTAAGCTATCTTACATTTCCTGATAAAGTCCACAAACCTCACATTAACGAAGCTGTGCTATGTCCTCACAGCACAAATAATCTCATAGTTTACCTTAAGTGTGACAGTCATTACAATAAGATTTCTTTAGGTTTGTAAGCATTAATTATCAATTGTGCCTTTTAGCATCCAACCACGGGGCAACAACTGGACTGGCTGCTTTCACATTCACCAGCATCAATATTTAAACTACAGAGTCTGTGTTTATCAGGGTCTTTCAGAGGGTTGAGCAGGTATACGGAAGGTAGCAGTTATGCACTGTGAATGTGTTTGCATCGAATATACTGTATGACCCGGGAGGAGGCACAGGCTGCAATTTCACAGCAGCCTTTGTTTGCCCCCTTAGAATGAAGCCTTACAGGATAATGAGCACTTTAAGACTGCTACTCCCACAACACCGACGACTAGCCTGTCACAACACTCTGACATAGGCAGGGAGAGAGAAACAGAGAGAGAGAGAGTCAGCAGGATCTGTCAAAGCCATTCTTTCTGTCCCTGTCTGCAGCAGTGAACTGAATTCATCCCATCTGCAGCCTCTTAAACAACACTTATTACACAATACACATCACATTAGTCCTCTCACTATCCAGCCATCACAACTGAGTGGTTTGTTCATAGAATCAGTCTATCGTTGGTTGACTCACTTCATGTCTTTGTGTGAACCATCATCAGTCTCACCCTTTTCCTCTTGCTCTCTCGCTTTCTCGCTGTTTTCTTTTTTTTTTGTTGCTCTGAGTTTCTAAGCAGAGTGGCAGACAGAGTAAAATATTAATTACTAAATCCGAAATCACTGTGCTCCCTCAGCTTTTATTCATGCTGACTTGACTAGACAATGAGAAACAGAACTGTACATCTTTCTCTCTCTCGCTCACACACACACACACACACACACACACACACACACACACACACACACACACACACACACACACACACACACACACACACTCTGCTTCAGGAGAATACGCAGAAATGCATGCATACTGTACAGGCATTCTGAATATAAAAACAGTACAGTAGTTTCTGTTGCAGGTTTTTTTCCGTTGTGCCTCCTTCATGTTACACAGACCCTTACAGAGCTTGAAGATGATGGATTGGATTGGATTTGTCAGACTCAAAGCTATATTTTGTCTTTAGTTTCAACTCGTCCATGTATACTAAGCATAAAGGAAGTCAGAGCCATGCACATGTATGTATGTACTTAATTTGGAAGAAAGATGCAAAAACACAAGTGCAGCAGATAAAACTTAAGTTGGAAAACTGTTAACTCTTGAGATAAACCGCAAAATAAAGATTCTAAAGTCGGATTTAGACTTCTCTGTGAAATCTACGTCCTAACCGCCGACATCACCACAAACCCCTTTTCTAACCCTTGCCATTCAAAGGCCATTCAAGCCTTTTCGGGCTGCGTCGAACCAACGTGTATTTACATTTCTCTGGAAGTGCATCTCAGGTTATGTGAAAGGTTGCAGCATAGCGTTTTGTAGGAGCTTCTGGTTTTGTTGTAAGTTACTGTGTAGATTTCCTGCTGAAGCATAATCCAGGGATAACCCAGCACTTACACAGCTCAAGATTTGCATTTTGAAATGTTTTATTACCTTAGCATTAGATTTTAAAACACTGATCAACAAAAAAAAGCAATATATAAATACCAGCCTGTTTAACATCTAACCAAAACGGCTGTAAAATTTAAAAAAAAGAAACAGAGCGAGGCACTTACAGATCCTCAGAAATGCTCTGAAAGAACCATTTAAAAGGTTAAATAAGTTTGTATCATGTATAAATGATTCTTTAAAGAGTCCTTTCACCCGAGAAGAAGCGCTTTGAAAGAAGCTGCATGGCCTAGAGGATTGTGACATTGTTAGATCCTGTATGAGTTTGGTCACTCTCAATGAGATGCATTCACAGGCAAAAACAGGGTGATGCCCAGATGCAGATGAGGTCCAGAGGGGAACTATTTTTATCTCCTTCTGCAGCTACATGTACGGGAAAGGGATTTTTATTTCTGACAGAAAAAAACTGTATATAGTGTGGATAATTTAACGGTTTAATCAGGAGTGTACATTTTTTAGTTTTGATGAAATTTTTAAAATAACTAAATTGGATTTGCTCTTTTTCCCCTTTTTTTTATGTAAATGTTGGCACATAGAGATAAACTAAGGTTAAGTCTGCTATTCTAAGTCTATAAGAGAGCCCAGTTACTCATGAGCAAGGCACTGCAAAAGCCACCTGCTTTACCCAATCACTTAATGGTGTTTCACCAGGCAACTACTCTGTAGCGGTGTATACTCCAGCTGTATGCTCTGCAATGTTAAACAGGGCATTAGTAAAGTTAAAGTTCCTACCAAGCCTGTGATAAAGGTGTGCTTTCACTTTATTTTTTAAACCAACAAAATGCCGGCAGCCTCACAGTCACACAGACCAGAGCTGCTGCTCTGACAAATTCCAAAGAGAAGGAAGGAAAGGGGAATTAATAGAAGTGTAAATGTGTGAGAGAATAGGAAAAAATAAAAGCAAGAAATAGTCTATAAATAGGATGTATACTGTAGCGCATGCGAGTCCAGCAGTGTGTATGTGTGCGCACCATGTGTGCGAGTTAGTAGCAGCCTCATTTTCTCACATGCAAATGAAGGCGTCGGCGCAAAGATAACGAGGCCCATATTTCCACCTCCTCAGTGGGGCCATTATTTATTGATGTTCTGCATCTTTCCCCCTCCCTCCCACTCTCACGCTTTCTTCATCCTCTCCCTGTTGCTAGGGTCTTCTCACTGGCATCCTGTTACGATTTTGGTGTACTTTCAGCAATTATTAAAGCACAGCGTGTTTACAATCATCAAGGACCAAATGTTGATACCCTAGGTGTTGTGTGAATGCAAAAATCGCAACAGCAAACTGGCTGTTGAAGTCGCTTAAATCAATAAAGAAAAGTAGGATCAGTTTGAAGTGGCTAAATATAGCTTTTCACATGCAAGTAGCTTTGTATCCAATCACAAATACTTTACAAAAACATACAACACAATGCACCGTGTTATAGCTTCCCGATTTCCTAAGCCTCAGTTGGAGGTTTGCTGGTTTCAGAGATCATTTAATCCAGTTCTGCACCTCAAAATCATGAAAATAACTAACAATTTGTCACCTCCTTTAACTAACTAATAAAATATTTGGAACTTCATTCATGAACAGTTTATTCAGCACTATTCCCAACAGGGAATCCGACCTACATGTTTAGAGGTGCAAATTTCCACAATATCCTATATTAAAGGCACCTAAGCAAGACTTTTCTTATGATACTAACCTGCTCAGGTTTTCCAGTGTACATGACAAGAAGACAAAAAACAAAACAAAACACTGACAGGTCTGAGTAAAACACCTTTGCTCCCATGGGACTTCCAGTATGGACCCCATATCTAATGAGTTTGGAAAAGGCTAATGAGCTATCGAACTCTGATTCCTGTTTTCCTCCTGATGGATCACTACAATCTGACCCCTGGATTCTTCATCTTACTCAACCCTGCTGATGGTCAAAGGCAGTAGATGCTTGTTTCTAAGGGCTTTACAAGTTAAATGAAGGTTACTGCGCATTATGACGAGTGTAAGGTAGCACACGGAGAAGGTCAAAGGTTTTAGATTCCTTCAAACAATCACAACATTACAGTGCCTCTCTCTACACAGAGGCTTTCAAACAAAATTGGGACTGTCGTTTCTCTGCACATTTCACGTGTCACAACACTGATGTTTAATATCTACCTGAGGCTTTTAATGTAAATTGATTCATTGTAACAAACTGTTGTAAAAATGCAGGAAAATTTGTGACTGAATGTATAATTTTTTTTAAATACTGTACAATACTTTTTAAAATAACAAGCATTAAACTATTAAACATTTTAATAATTTAATAATTGACCACAAAGTGTTGACAGTTTGTTATTCCGAAAGAATATCAGGAAGTCGGGGGATTGATTGATTAAATAAATAAGGACAAAAACTACACCTGAGACTTGAGCTCTGGTACTTTTACATCTCAAAAAAGTGAGTAAACCTAAGATGTAAAAATACATAAAAAAAATAAAGAAATAAAAAAGAATCATCATCAATCAAAGTTATTTTTTGAATAGTGAATTAAAGCTCAACTGAAAAAACCTAGTAAATCCAATCTGGATGCTACCTGAAACTAATCTGACTTTAAAAAAAATTAGAATATATAAAACTATAAATAATAAACCTGACAGTGGGTTTATTTTGTAGCATAAACGATACAGATGCCATTTTTAACACTTTGTTAAAGATTGCATCTGCACTATTGAGCAGAATAAAGTGTAAAGTACAGAAAACCCAGAATGTAAAATGT